AAACCTTAAACCTTAAAACTCTAAACCCAAAACCCTGAACCCTAAACCCTAATCCTTAAACCTGAAACTCTAAACCCAAAGCCCTGAACCCTAAGCCCTAAACGTTAAACTCTAGACCGCTCTTTGTACTCCTGCCTGCGAAGTCGCCTGGCCCGAGAAATTAGCTTCTCATGTGAAGGAAATCGTGGTTGTTGTTGGAAAGCGGTTTAGGGTTTAGGGTTTGGGGGTATTTCGGTGTTCGAGGCCCCAGAAACCCACTGCTTTCTCAGGGATCCAGTTGTCTGCAGGCATTCTCCAAAACTGCTTAGATAAGGTCTCAAGTTCAGGAAGCCTGCAATCCTTACACCACACGCAGGTTCCAAAGACACCTGCCATCCTGAGGCCCGGAACCCTAAACCCTAAGCCCTTCAATCAAATTCCCAAAACCCCGGGATACTCATGACCGTGAACTCCTTATAAGACACGGAGGCGGAAGACGTATCAACAAATTTTGAACAACACTAGAAGAAGTACACCCCCCACCCAAATGGAAGAAGCGACAGAGACGGGACTCCAAATTCCGAGGCCTGAAAGCACCTCTTCTGTTTCCACGCTAAATTTAGGATGCATTTCCCTTTTCTCCTTTTTCAAAGTCACTTTTGTTAGATGTTCGCGATGTCTATCCGTCCCTCAACCCCCTAAACCCTAAATCCTCAACCCTGTTAAATCTTCTAAGCCCTACCGCCAGGAGAAGCTGACGGAAGAAATACTCCGAAATCCTTCGCAGCTGGCGGCAGCACTGGCGAAGACCAAGATGCTGGGGCTGTGATTCTTTGAAAGTGGGGTTTAGGGCTTTGGGGTTTAGGGAGGTTTAGGGTTGGAGGGTTTTGGGGTTTGGGTTTAGGGTTTTGGGGTTTAGGTTTTCGGCAGGTTTACTTTAGGGGTTTCTATGAGTTTTCCTGCAAGAGCTCCTATACGGGCACTAGAGGGTTTACTCTATAAAGGGTGTAGGGCTTAGGGTTGCGCTACGGCAGGGGCCTACTGCAGGCACGTGGGGCCTTCTCAGCACTTCTCTGCTTTGCGATACTTCTATGCGCCGCAGTCGCACCAGAAGAAATCAGCCAGCATGGAAAAGCACCCCAATACCAGGACCCACACCAGCACCCCAAACCCAAAGCCCTATGTGACCAGGTTGCCATGCAGCGGAGCAAACCAAAACTAGCACGATGCCAGCGTCACTTGAAGCCCTCAACCTTGACTTTCTGACCTGAAAGCCCTTTTAAGCCAACAGCCCGAACGTCGGGCTCGGACCAGAAAGTAGCAGCATCCCCTTATAGTCCTCATTAGGGCCCGACCTAGACCTTGTGAAGCTCATTGCTCCAACGAAGCCACAGCTCCCCGATGTGTCCTCATGCGCCTAGGATGGAGTTTGGCCCTTCGGAGGGCCAGAATGGATATATGGCCCTCACCATTGGCTGGTATATGGATATCTTATGCAGAAAGGTGGGGGGACTTGATCCACTGCAGGGTTCAGCCCAGAAAAGTAGACCCTAAACCCTAAACCCTAAAAGCTCCTTCTGTCGGATCCCCCGAGGTGGATCCTCAGCAGAGGGGAATTGATCAGCTTCTCCGCGAGGAGATCACCTCCAAGCTGGGCCCCTAACATTACAGTACCACGATTAGGTAGTTCTCCAAATTAGGGTCCCCTGTTAGGTCCCCAATATAGACGGCACCCTTAAAAAAAGGACCCCCAAAGGGACCTTAATTTAGAGAACTACCACTATCGATCTCTTCGAGTAGCCCTTTTTGTAGGCCCCATTAAAAAAGGGAATCCCAAGAAGGCTGGGCTTGGCAAGCGAAGTCTATTGCGGCCTGCCGAGCCCTTCCGAGCTCGACCGAAATCGCATCGCATCCCTGAATTGTTTCTCGACCTTTGACCTGGTTTTGAGGGGGAAGTTCTCATCTGAATTTGTTTGGAACATGGCCTTCACGCCCAGTTCCTATGCAGCCAGAGCCTTCAAGAATCCGAACTTCTTGGGGAAGTTGAAGAGCTATTCCACCGAGCGGGTGAGGACGCTCTGCATCCCCGGTGCGAATTTCATTACCTCGGCTCGGGGAGCTGCCGGTCTCTATGATGCCATCCTGTCTGGCACCGGCAGCGCGGGCTTCAAGCCCGAGACGCTGCGCGTCCTCTCGGAGCCCGCCGAGGAGCGCTTCGATGTGGTGATACGACAGCCGACAGCCTTCTCACTGGGCTTCGGGAAGCCCGCCTCTCCCGCCTCCTCCTGCTTTGGCAGCAGCAACAAGTGCTTCGGAGCTTACGGGACTGGCGGCCAATTTGCCTTTGCCGACCCGGATGCAGAGCTGGCCTACGCCTACTGCACGAACCGCCTCGGCACGCACCTCTGCGACCCAAGGGACCTTGCCTTGCGCCAGGTGGTCTACTCCAACCTGGCGCGGCTAGGCCACCCGTCCCGAGATCAGCCCCCGGACAAGACGCTTGAGAAGCATCTGAAGGCAAGGGCGGGAGCTGAAAGGACTTCGTCGTCATGATTGCAAGGCTGATGTGCCTGCCATGCTCGAGCAACTCAGGTCCCACAAATAAACAGGACATCTTCCTAAGCCGTAGTTTATTTGCCGTAGTTTAGCTTGAAGTCCGAGGGGGACGTTTCGGATTCAGGCTTTTGGATACGGGGGGTTTTGGAGTTCTGGCAGGCCGGGACAGCGAAAGAGACGACCTGCTTTGATTGGTTTCTGCGACTCTTTGGCGGCTTCTTCCTGTGGCTTGGCTAGTCGTTCGCACATCTGGAGGACTGATGTGAGCTTCAGTCGGAGTTGTGTGAAAGTGGTAAGGTAGGCAACAGCTGCTCACAGTATCATCCAGTCGTCCCGTCAGGATACTAGCGTTGCAAGCACTGAGTTCTTTTTGCACAGAGCTTCTGGTATTTGTCATTTGGGCATGCCGGCAGCATCCTTCAGAAGACTTGTGCGTGACCTCTTGCACGAAGAACCTCGCGGAGCCTCGTGACGGTCCATGCTGCTTCTGCAGTACTTTTAAGCCGAGGTTAGCGCACTGCGCTTGGAGACAGGCAGAAGGACTAGACAAAAGCAGGATTGCAAGGAATGTGCAGTCGGCCAAAGCGCACTCAATGGATATTCAGGTTGAGGTTCCACAATATCTCTTTCCTGGAAGTATGTGGCCAGTCGTAGACTCACCCTCCATTTTCACCACACCAGACTTTCCGAGCCTCACCGCTTATCCCACCGACCTATCAGTAAGAAGCCCAAACCCCGAAACCCTAAACCCCAGTCCCTGACTTGATTGCGATGGTGCAGCCAGCACCAAGTCCCAAAACCTCTAGAGCTCAAAGGCCTAAAGCCTCAAGTGCCTACAACCTAAACCTTAAATCCTATAACCCCGATGCCCTGAACCCTAAAACCTTAAACCCACTGTCCTGAACCCGAAACCCTACGCCCCGAAGCCGAAACCTTACTCCCCATAAAGCGTTGGCAAACTAAACCCTAAACCGAAAGCCGAAAGCCCTACACAGGGAGCTCAAGCCCCCATACAGTTAGATCTGACCTTGTCATTTTTCGGCTATTGGCACCACGCAACCACACCAGCATACATATCTATTCCCAATGCCCCGGGTCTAGGGTGCTCCTTAGTTAAGGGTCTCTGGGTTTGCCGGTCTTGCGCGACCTTGAAATATCTTGAAGCTGCACATGCGACAGCCCACCACAAATACACGAATCGCGAGAACTCTGAAGCCCTTAGCTGTGAACCGAAATAAAAGTCTTTAAACACGAAACCCCAGGTCCTAAAACCTAAATCCAAGGGAACGCGAAGCCCTGGAGCCTGATCGTCCTCACGTGCCAGGCTTGGGCGCTGCGAAAGACATGGACGTCTTCAGCTTCGATTTCGAGGCCTCGAACCCACCCCCCCCTCTTCCGCCGATGCTTCTGGGTTGCGGGATGCCTCTGTTTCGGGTTTGTGATTTGGGAAAGGTTGCGGTGGAAGAGCGTCGTTGCCGCCAGTGTGTGATCCACATCCTCGAAGTGAAGGCTGTGGTGTTGATGATGCCTCTTGTTGACAGTTCTTGCTTGTGATTGCGGCAATGATGATGTTGTTGTTGATGATGATTGCGATTGCGACACAGGTCATGGTGAGGTTTCTGATGATGGTGACGACGATGATGATGATGATTGATTATGTTGCGGTTGTTGTCGCTGTTGCTGCTAAACCCCTAAATCCTACGCCAAATCCTCCGCTACCAGGAGGATATCGAAGCCAAGGATGCTGATCGGGAGGAGAGCCTGCGAGCCCCTTGACGAGAGCACTTAAATCGGGATTTAAGGGTAAGGGGGGCGTAGGGCATCTTAAACTGGGTTAAGGGTTTAGGGATTTATATCAGGGCTTATTAGGGTTTAGGGTTTTATCTAGGGTTTGTTCGGACTTTGGGGTGTTTCGAACAAGGTTAAGGAGGGCTTATCTGCTTTCGGAATTCGGTTTCACGGGGTGCTTTATGGGTAGTTCTCTAAACCAGGGTCCCTTTTGGAGTCCTGTTTATAGGGTGCCGTACTCTACTGGGGACCTAAAACAGGACCCTAATTTTATTTAGAGAGCTACCCAAAATCTTAACCTGCTGGAAGTTTCCAATGAACTCGATGCTGGCCGGAGAAGCGGAGAAAAGGTAAAGTATCAAGGCTTCGGATGTAAGGTGCTGAGGTTTGCCCTGACCCATAGCCAACTAACTAAGGTCCACTTGCTACGAGGGTTCACTGTAAGGGTTTATGAGTTTACGAGCATGGAGATATCTCAAGCCTGACCCGAAACCCGACAACCGTCTCCCTCGACCTCTGTTCCAATGAATCCCAACCCATGCCGCCTTCAGTAAGTCACAACCCAAACCCCCAAAACCCCATTCTTAAGTTCTTAAGCCCTAAACCCCAAATCTTAAACCCTAGACCCTAAACCCTAAACCCTAGAGTTTTGGGGTGAAAGGCCGTTGCACCCTTAAAAAAAGACCCACAACTCTTTGACTAAGGCTGAAGGCTTGACCTCTGCCGAGGGGGCGCTGAATCGAGGACGCCCCGGGCCTGCGGTGGTCGGTTTGGTGGAGTTCAGAGTTTTTTACTGGTTTAGGGTTTAGGGTTTAAGGTTTCGGGTTTAGAGTTCAG